CCAGAGCAAGCTGACCAGCCAGACTGGCTATACTGCTGAGCTTTGTGTGTGATTAAGAGACCCCGCCTCACGGAATGAGGTGGAAGAGCTATTGAAAATGACGCCTAGCCCCAATCTCGCGCCTCCGCATGCATGTGCACTCAAGTGCTCACACCAACCGACACAAGTGAGGGGGAGCACTTGCAAGTCGGCACACACGCACATGAAAATGAAAAAAGAAACAGGTAATTCAGCTGCACAAAACATAATGCATTGATGTCAGCAGGAAAGACTCAGGCTGCACAGGGGGACAGGCTGCAGAAGAGCTGCATCCAGGAGCAGCCTGCAAGCCTCCTCAGGCTCTGTGTCCACCCTGCAAGCTTCAGGCTGCCATGTGCACCAGCCAGCAGATGGAAGTCAATAACAGTGTCTGCTTGCGTGAAACTGGCACAGGCCTAGAGGGCTGGTGGCTGACCTGGGGTTCCCAGCAACCACATCTTCCCTTAAGCTGCATATTCTCAAGCCCATTCCACAAGTTAGGTATAGGTCACTGGTACTTGTACGAATGGGGACAGCCAAGGGTCAGCCAGCTGCCTCACTGACCACTTGTAGATGGAAAGGGTTACATTCAATTAAACCAAAAGGCTTACATAGGAAAGGGATGGAATGCCAGTTGGAAAACACAAAGTAAGACAACAGCCAGCGGTTCCTTCTGGATCAGTAGCACACCCCCCCCCCCCCAGCAACTGCTAAGGAAACTGTGACCCCAAGCTGTGCTCAGCAGAGAGCCAGGCCAGCAGCCAGCTGCTACTGCTAACACTAAGGACGCGAAGCCCACAGAGCTAACAGTAAAGAGAAGGCAGCACCCGGCTGGACAGATGGCTCAGCTGGTAAAGTGCCTGCTTCCCAGGATGAAGAGCTGAGTCAATCCCATCACCCACAGGGAAGGCAGTGGTGGCAGAGGGGCCTGCAAGCCCAGTGCTGGGAAGGTGGAAGGACACTCTCTGGGGCTTCTTAGCCTGTCAGAACTGGTCAGTACCAACTTTAGCAAGAGACTATGTGTCAGAATGTAAGGTGAGGACTGAGAAGAACACTCCTGTGTCAACCTCTGGCCTCATGTACATGTGCATATACTAAAAACATACCAGCTCCAAATTGGTGAAGAGGAAGAAACGATCTGCTGCCCCTTATAATCTGGCAAGCACAAGGACAGGTAATTCAACTGCACAAGACTATAGTGCAGTGAGTTCTGCTAATGACACTGGGTTAAAACAAGGTCCGTGCCTTAACTACTGGGTAGACCTGTGCTTCCTAGTCAGCTCAGAACAAAAGTGTACATTCACATGTAAAGTGTGTACATACAAACAAATTCTAAACAGCTATGAAAGTGAAAGTTAGGTCCTTCCCTGAACCATCCTTTCTTAAGAGTTCAGTTACCACCTTCTAAAACAATAGAAATACTACAGTTCCCTGCAGATAAGGGGCCCTATAAAGGCAGGCACATGTCCACACTGAGGTATGCCACGCTGCTGTGAGACAGGGACAGTTCAGAGCCTGGGTCTGCACAGCCTCATCTGAGACACAGGAACTCAAGCTGGCCTCCACCCGCCTCTGAGGCAGTGGTTCTCAACATCCTAATGATTCCTCATGTTGTGGTGACCCCCAACCATAAAATTATCTCATTGCTTCTTCCTAACTGCTATGAATCATCGTGTAAAGGTTTGATACGCAGGATATCTGATATCTGACAACTGTGAAGGGCTGTTCGACCCTCAACAGGGTCTTGGCCTGCACGCTGAGGATCACTGCTCTAAGGTGACCAAAGGCCCAACACAGGGAAACAACCTTGGGTCTCCCTGAGGCACCAATGGAGGGGGACCATTAGGTGCCACGTTGCCTGCAGAAAGTACACGCTCCACCCGACATCTGCTTCAGGCATTGCCGGAGTGCTAGGCAGTGACCCCAGTGTCTCCTCTCCTCTCCTACAAACCTCCCAGTGTCCCCAGTGTCTGTTGTCCACAGGCTGGGGAACACCTGCCCTTCCATGCAGCAAGGGTGAGGTGCAACAGAATCCTTTAAACACAGGGTGCCCCTCACTAAGTCCCCTGCAGTGCCCAGGTGCCCAGAGGGCAGCAAGAGTCAGCACAACATAGCTGTCCCTGCGCCCTATGCATGGAGCCTAGAGACTAAGCATAAAACCCCGGCCATCCACAGGAGGGCAGGGTGTGTGCTGTCAGGGCTTTGTTTGCACTGGCCATCACCATTCCTGTTTGGGCCAGGGCACAGCCTGGCTGCGCTTTGCCTTAACTTGATCACTAGAAGAAAAGCCTTCTAAAAGAGACTTCCAGTATTTAGGCAAATTACACTCAGAGCTCTGAAGTTAGGGCAGAGCTTGTCAGCCAGTTGAGCTCACCATTGCCTGGGAGGAGCTGGGTGTGGGGTTTACAGCCCCATCTGAACCCGCCACTAAGCTAGGACTGGCCCCGGAAGGTGGCTGCTGACCAGGATGTAAACTCAGATCTAGCTAAATTTCAAAACTGGGAAAACCCATCAGAGCTGTGACTGTACATGCTTGTACCACAGAGTTTGCGGGGAGTACCCCAAAAATCCTGTAACAGAAAACCACTTTATGACTTCAAAAATAACAAACTGTGAAGAACGTTAGCTGTCAGCCCAGGACCTTCTGAGGCCTGCCCTTCATCTGTATCCTTGCTGTAACAGGAAGCAGTGAGTACTTCAGTCAGACCCCAGCGTGCAGATCTTAGCCTGTTATTTTCTGTCCACTAAATGCTTAAGCTGCTTGCTAAATCTGCAGTTAAGTGACAGATGGGCTGCTAGGGGCCGAGGTGGCCTGTGTGTCCTTAATCCAAAGCTATACAGTAACCCCTCCCAGGGCAGTTTAGAGCCACTTGGAGTTGGAAGTTTATGAGCTTCAGCCTAAAGGGACTTCCTCCTTAAGGGGAAGCAGAACTCTTTTGCATGTACCCACCAGAAACTTATCAACAGAACCTTTCATAAAGGCAAACACCCTAAAAAGCACAGCTTGGGAAATGGATAACAGACTCCTCAGAGCATTTACAAATATGTTTTCTAGCCACAGGCTGTAGACACACCAAGGTTCTGGGCAGGGCCTCTGGGCACATGCTTTGGGGGACAAAGCCCTGGCCCTAGAATCAGACTAAGTGGGTTAAGACTGTGTGACAAGGACGGGCGCATAAGGAGTGGGGAGCTAGCTTCCTGGGAGGAAGACTCCATCCAGACTGAGCAGGGGCAGTACATACAGGAGGGGAGGGGCAGGGACACAAAGTCCGAGATGGAGGCAACATGGGAGTCAGGTAGACCAGATTAGGGTGGGATGGGAACCTACCAAGATGGGGTAGAGGCAGGCTAATAAGGACAGGACTGGAAAGAATAACCAAGGATTGGTTATTTATGTGACCAGGGTGGGATAGGGCAGGGTGTTTTGGGAGGGGGCCCCCAAGTCCACCCAAGCAGCAGATCTCGGAGGAGGAAGACCCGCCAATTCCTCAAGAGGAGAGAGTTGCAGGATGGGGGGTTGAGGAATGAAACATGGGGTACTTAAGTTCAAAGATAACTGCACCCTAAGCCTGCCTGCTGGACATAGGCCCAGGCAGTAAGGACCGACTGACAGCAGCAGAGGCAACCTTGCTTTTACCCTCGCCTTGTTCAACTCTGCCGACCATCACGTTCCCACGGGTGATAACCAATCCCATTTGAGGCTTTGAGAAGCAGGTGCTTGGGAAAGTGACAGATTCAGTGGACTTCAAACTTAATTTTATTTCTGATAAGTCACACATTTAAAAACATCATCTCCTCCCGGAGCTGGTTCCTCATAGTAGCAATACTACTCTGCCCATAAACCACAAGACCAAAGAAGTCTGAATCTGTGAACTCTGCTCATTACTCAAAGAAAGGCCCCAGAAGTGACCACAGCACCACAGACCTGGCCCCAGAGCAGGAAAGTCCCACATGCCGGGTCTCACGGTGAGAGCCACACGAGCAAATGGCAACTGTGCCTGGATCCCGGTTCCCACTCACTACCGCCCAACCGCGGCGGCACACGGGTTCCCTCTCACGTGAGAACTAGATTGTATAAAGTTGATTCCGCTCATAGCCACCCCAAAGGAGCGTCGCTGACAGCTGAAATAGTGTACTCGAGACAGGAAACAATCTGCAAACATGGATGTGGAAATCATACCGCTGGATTATGCCAGGGGCCCCGCACGTCCGCTGCTCCAGCCAGATGAACATCCAGGTTCCGGCACCAGGCCACTGAGACACACAGTCGGCCTCCCAGCTGAGCAGAGGCGCTCGAAAGGGGCTGCCTGATGCGAGGACTCCCCACACTCCCGCCCACCACCAGGCCTCCAGCTGGCGGGAACCCGCGCCAGGCCAGGGATGTGGGTGCGGGGCCCAGGGGATGGAGTGCAGGGTCCCGTGCTGAAACCAAAGAGGGTGTAAGTCAGCAAGCGCGCTGGCGGCGGGAAGCCGGACCCTGGCGCGGGCTACAAGGGTGCTGCAGGGGAGGGGCGCGGCTCTCGGAGGACCGGGCGGCGCCTAGCCCCTCCCCACCGCATCCCAGGCGCATCGTGGACTGAGCAGAGCGGCGCTGCGGAGAACCCACCTGGGCCTTCTGCAGGGCGCTCAGTCGAAGCTCGTGCACGAAGGGGTTCCGCCCCGGGGGCGCTAGCCGTCGCGCGTCGCCTACCCCAGAGCTGGAGGAGGGGGCAGCCCGCGGCCCGCGACCCCGCAGCCTCATGGCGGCCCGCGCCTGATCAAGGATCGTAACAGATGGAGCACAGCCGCTGGAGCTCAACGGAGCGGAACCGAGAGCAGAGGAGCAGGAGGCAGCAGACCCAGTAGAGTGCGCGGGAGAGGGCCGAGGATGCGCGGCCGCCCCGAGGCGCAGGCGCGGGAGGGGGGCGGTGTGGCGTGGGTGGGGCCAACGGGATGCTCCGCCCCGACCGCGTTTGGCTTTGAATGCGCCTGCGCATCTCGAGGCTCAGGGACTTACCTAGAACCCGGGGAAACCTGCAATTTCCTATGAGTAGGGAGACCGTGAGATTTGGGCCGCTGGAACGAGGCTTGCTGAGGCTTGTGGGCACAGTGGCCGCTGAGGGCCCCACTGACCCAGCTGAGCTGGTCTGAGCCCGCCCGAACCTGCGACTCCTGGAGGGAGGTTCTTGGAGCGACCCCGGACTGTGCCAGGCCTGCTTCTCAGCGCAGCACAACCCTTTCCGTGACCATTGTAATCCATCAGTCGCCTCTGTGGGTGAAGGGAAAGGTTAGAGAACCATAATTTGTATCTCGCTATTAAACCAGGGCTCAAAATAGCCTTCCTGCTAAAATGTATACATTTGACTCACTGAATGCCTTTTGTAGTTTTTGAATCATGTTTTTAACTAGGATACAAAATAGCTTTCCGGTCAAAATGTACACATTTGAAAAACTAACGAAATGCTTTTTGTAGCAACCCCAGGTGCATTCATTTGTGTCTCTCATAGACCCCTCCACAAGCAGGTGATGGGAGACGGAGGGTCCAGCCACAGTCACCAGACGGGAGGAAGGAGCCAAGTTCTGCCGAATTCCAGACAGACCCCCTTGGCTTCCTGTCTAACCTCACAAATGTTCCTGTGGGCACCAGCGATCTGAGACAGCCCAGCACACCCTGTTTATGGGGTGACCAGAGCCTCTTATAACTGCTAACGGAAGTGTGACCTTGCGGAGGCCGTTTGTTTGGATAAGTTGGCTAGGAGGAAAATGCACTTGCAGGTCCTGTCACTTCAAAGCTTCATGTTGTATTTGGCACCTGGCATCATCTTGAGACCCTCCTTGTCCCCTCTGCAAAATGAGCCTTGCAGCAGCAGCAGTCAGTACACACAGCCTTTCTCCGGTTAGGAGGGCTGTGGAGGCCCTGAAGAGTATGAGCAGCCTAAGTGCTCTGCTGTGCTGCCCTGTGACCTAGCCATGAATGTTGCTCTGATTCTAGCTTTTAATTCCCACTTGCTATGGTCTCAGACAGCAAAGTGCAGCATCCAAGGATCTGCAGCTCCTTATCAAGAAACTTCAGGACGCAAGTGTGTACACACCTTTCCCCAAGGAAGACAGGCAGTTCCACCTGCAGTCCACAGGCGAAGAAGCCTGAGGATATCCAGGGGCCAGGATTTCTGTAGAGTCAAAGCTGAGTCTCAGAGAGCTGTGAGCATCTTGGGTAGCTGTGTTAGCCCAGGTCGTCCAGTCAAGGAAGACAGGATGGAGTTACATATACTTGATATAAGCCTGGTGTGCTGGTACATCATTGTAATTGCACAAGTGAGGAGGTTGAGACAAGAGGATTGCAAATTCTAGTCCAGCCTGGGTTAGTCGAGTAGATCCTGTTTTAAAAAGCAGTGTACCAACACGCACACACACACACTATATTTGTGCTTGGCGTGTAAGAGAGATATGTCTTCTGACAGGAGCAGAGCCCAATTAAAACTCTTGGTTTGGGGGGACTGTTAGAATGTGTTGTGGACTGAGTTGTGTTCCCCTAATAGATGTTGAAGTCATAATATGCAGTACCTGTGGAGGCTACCTTGTGTGGAAAGAAAATCTTGGCAGATAACCAAAATTAATAAATTGGTGGGACCCATGCAGTATTAGTGATGTCCTTATAACTGGGAGGTTTAAACAAGGAGAGAAGTGCAGGAGGGTGTGCCATGTAAGACTAGAGTTTTGCTGATCTAGGCTACTCAGCCACTTGAAGCTGGAGAGAGCTGGGAGGGTCCTTCCTTAGCGACATCAGCAGGAGCTACCTCTACTTTGATCTTGGACTTCCATCTTTCTGAGCTATGAGAGGACACAGCTGCTTTTTCATCCCACTTGTAGTCATTTGTTCATAGTCTCAGGAGATTCATAGTACAGTATAGGTCCTGGAAAGGATGGAGGTAGGAGGGGCACCCTGCCCCAGCCCTGCAATCTAAACAGAGTGAGTAGGCCAGGCAGGGTCAGTGTCCAGGTCCCAGGAGAGGACTTGCCTGAGCTACCTGCCCTGCTCTGCCTTTGTGGAAGCCCCGTGGGAAATGTGGCCTGGTGGAAACCCACAGTGGATCCTTGGGTCAATGAGGCATGTTAGGAGACCAGGGGAAGGAAATGATTTGTTTATATCGTGTTTTGATGAGACACAGAGACAAGAAAGTGATGGTCAAAAGGAAAACAGTCCTGCTCACAGATCGAGGAGCGTCAGAGGCTCAGGTGGAACATCCTGTCTTAGGCTCTTTGTCGTGCTGTAACAATACACCTAGGAGTGGTTTATAAGCCACAGAAAATTATTCTCTTACACTCCCAAGCCTGAAACAGGAGCCACTGGGCTTGAAGTCTGATGAGGAACCAATCTCTGCTTTCAATATGGCACATAAGGATGTTGTACCCCAGAGAGGGCTCCTAGTACTCAGGGAGCAGGAGAGTGGCAAGAGGAAACTTTGAGCCCTTTTATAGCTGTAGTGGCAGAGTTATTTCCTTTCCTCTCTTTCACATTTAACTTGCTATCCTTTCGCTGCCTTGTGAGGGGGGTGCAGATTGTTGGTTGTAGACCTTTCTTATTTAATGTTGTCCATTTTCTTACAAGCACGGCTTTGTCTGCATTCCACAAATGCTGGCTTGCTGGTTTTTCACTTCCCTTCGGTTTTTAATTTACTTTCTATTTTCCCTGGTGGTCTCTTTGACCCATGTGTTGTTTACATAGCTGCATAGTAATGTCCAAATATTTGGAAAGGTGCCAGACACATTTCTGTCATTAATTTTAATAACTCCTTTGTGGTCACAGCACATAGGCTCTGTGAGTTCCCTGTGTCTGTGGCCTATAATTATGCATTTGGGCTGGAGTGTTCTGTGAATGCTGGTGGGTTACACTGGTGCCTAGTTTTGTGCAGGTTCCGCATATTCCTACACTTGAGTTACTTGTTCTGTTAATTACCGAGGCCAGGCTTATTTGGACACTTTTCTATTTTGCTTTTTAGTATTTTTAGATTTTGTCTTCTATTATTTTGCAACAATGTCATTATGCACATATATGACAATCAGAGAGATTGTCCCTCCAGGAATCAACCTCTTTATTATAAGGGAGACTCTGCCCCATCCTTATTGTTGTCCACTGTTTATTGGCATGTTTATGTATTTTGTGTTTTAACCGACCTTAAAATCCAGTCCTTTTTGCAGCAGTATTGAGACAGATGGGCTTGGTGATTCATCCAAAAATTCTTGCACCTAGGAGGCTGAGACAGGAGGATCTCTGTGGTTTTGAAAGCCAGCCTAATGTACATGGCAAGACTCTTGTTTCAACCCTCCCAAATAAGGCCCCTCCCCAACCAAACCAAAACATCAGAGTTAGAGCCCTTGCATGTGAGGTGCCAGCAGACGTAGGTTTAGATATTCAGACCTTCTATTGGCTTTACGATTATCTTCTGTGGCTTTGCTCTGTGCTCTTCTCTCCTGGACCAATTCAGGAGGCTCCACCTTATCTCTGCTGTTGGCTCATCAGCTTTACCTGTTTAACATTTTAGTGTCTGTTTTAGGGCTTAATATGTATTCTCTGGTGGCATTTCAAATAGTATGATGCCACTTTACATGTGAGACTTCACAATATCCATATTCATTTCCTTCCTGCCCTTCCTGCCACTGCCACTGTATTTTAATTTTATATATGCTAAACCTCTGCGGCCCACTGTTATTATTTTGGCTTTTAACAGTCAATTATCTTTTCGAGAGATTAAAAAGACTTTTGTATTCGTGCCAATGGTTGCCTTTTAAGCTCATCCATTGCCCTGTACAAATCTGAATTGTCTTGTGTTATTTTTCTTCTTTCTGAGAAAATTCTACTAAATATTTTGAAGTATAGAGCCCTTTGCTCATAATTTTCTACAGTGTGGTTGTCTGAGATATGTTTAATTTGCCTTTGTTTCTGTGGGTTTTCTTCTGATGACTAAAATTCTGTTGCAGTTCTTTTTTTTTTTCCTTACTTTTTTTTATTTATTTTTTTTATGCCTCTGTTTACTTCCAGGATCTTGCCAACACATAGTACCTAGACCAGTCTTGGTCCCAACTGGCAAGATTTGCGTGAGAGAACATATTTACATGTGCTTGCTTGTTATTTGAAACTCACCTATAGTGAGTGAACTATCTGTACAGAGCCTTCCTTTAGTTGTCCTCTCACTGTTTGAAGAGGACCTTTTGTAACATTAAAATCTTGCTCTGTTGCCTATCCTAGCCGAGACTCACAGGGTGAAGTGATTTTTCAGCCTCGCCCTCCAGAGTTAGCGGCACTGTGGGCCCACAGCACCCCACAGCACCCACCTCACCCTCCAGAGTTAGGGGCACTGTGGGCCCACAGCACCCCACCTCACCCTCCAGAGTTAGCAGCACTGTGGGCCTAAACCACCCCTAGCTCTTATACGGGAACCTGGAAGGAAACAGACTTGCTGAGCCTTTGACCCACTTACCCAGTATACAGAACACAATCTGCTTCGTTTCAGTCATCTCACTCCGCAGTGCCCGTGGCTTGCCGTGCGCACAGTGGTCGACCCCCATATGCAGTGGTTTTGCACTACCATAAATGATCCTTTTCTTTTTTGAATGTTTATTCCCAGCATACAAAAATAAGTTTGTTTCACATCTTGATTTCATGTCTTTGAGTCTTATCGGAGTTTCTTGTGAGTTCTGGTAGCGTTTTCCATTGGTTCTGGATTCCTAGGCACAGAATCATGCTTTCTGCCAATAAAGACTTCCTTTCTTGTCTTGCTTTCTTTTTCTTGTTGGCTTTTACTGCTTAGACCACTTGGTCAACTTAGTGGACCTGAGGAGTGCTCACCTCTGCCTTTCCCTTCAGTGTGGGTTGCAAACAAGCGCAAGGAGATCTGCATCTGCCTCCATGAAGCCTCTGCGCAGTGGAGGCTTTTCCCTGTGCCTCGCTTTGTTACCAGCACAGTGTCGGCTGCACGGACAGGCTTGTGCCTGTCTGTCCCCTCTGGATTTCTTGGAGAGCTTGTTCAGAGTGCTGTTGTTTCTTCTGTAAACGTTCTCAGAAGTTCCCAGTGAGGCTGTCTTCAATCCAAGATCAAGTAACTCCCTAGAAATAGGGCTGTTCTGCCTCTTTCCCAAGAAAGCTTTGACGTGTGTATCTTTCCAGGAATCTGTCCATTTCATCTAAGTTGAGAGATGCACTCTCATAATGACATATTCATTTTTTCCTTTTTATATGATTATTGCTGGGAATATATACAATCTGAACAAATAAAATTATTTTATAGCTTTAGGAGATTCGTTCACAAATATATCACCGTAAATGGTATAAATATAAGCATTACATTGTTTGCCAAATTGTCCTGTGCACAGGATACAGTATTATCATTAAAACATTAGAATTTCAATAAAGTTTAGAAAAGTAAGTATTTCAGAAAGTGGCTTATGCTAACTAAATTATGTAAAATAATAACTAAATTAGACTTCATTGAAGAAATATATTAATTTTTAACCTACTGACAGACTAGCATCAGAAGGAAGGAAAAGAAGACCTCCCCTACCAGTGGACTTGGGGAGGGGCATGCGTGGAAAAGGGGGAGGAAGGGAAGGATTGGGAGGGGATGAGGGAGGGAACCACAGGGGGATACAAAGTAAATAAAGTGTAATTAATAAAAAAAATTAAAAAGAATTTCACAGAGTCATCATGTCAGTTGTTCTGTAAAAACTGGGTAAAGAACTCATTATATTTTCATAGTTTACTCAAATTGAAATGCTTAGACATGCTTTTATCATTTAGCAATATTCTTTGATATATTCTTACAATGTCCACTGTAAAGAAGATCTGTAGAGCGCTATGGATGTCACTGTGCACGTTTCTGCCTGTGGCTTCTGTGTCCTCTCATGACACCTGCCCTGCTGTGTTCTGACGCTGCTTCTGTGTCCTCTCATGACGCCTGCCCTGCTGTGTTCTGACGCTGCTTAGTTCCCACATTTTTTTCACCATGGTTAGTCTCTCAATAGTTCCTGTTTTCTTTGGTCCCGGATTGGTCAGGTCAGATGTTCCCCTACTTTGTTGATCTTAGCAAAGTCTCAGGTTTCTCTGAGATCGTGTATTATTTCCTTTTATGTGTGGTGTATATGCGTGTTTGTTTGGGTTCGTGTGTGTGGGAGTACTTGTTCATGTGTATACACGCATGTGTAGAGGACATAAGGTCAACCTGGGTTATCAGTCCTCAGGAGCTGCCTACTTTGTTTTTGTTGTTGTTTGGTGTGTGTGTGTGTGTGTGTGCGTGTGTGTGTGTGTGTGCGCGCGCACATAGAAGCAAGAGGTTGATCAAGATGTCTTTCTTGTTTGCTCTCTAGTTTATATATTGAAATAATGGCTCCCACTTGAACCAAGAGCTTGCTGATTCAGCTAGTCTAGCTAGCCATCTTGCTCCTGGGATCCTCTTTCTTGGCCTCCCAAGTTCTGGGACTATATACACAAAGGTTACTATGCTCACCTGCCATTTACATGGGTGCTGGGAATCCTTTACCTAACCAGCTCTCTCCCCAAACCCTTGCCTTTCTTGAGGTCTCTCCCTGGGACCTGAAGCTTACCAACTTGAACAGGCGGTCCTGCCTGTCTTCCCAGTGTGGGGATTGCAAGTGCAGATCACCATGCCCAAGTTTTCATGTGGGTGCTGGGACTCTAACTCAGGTTTCAAGTTTGCAGATAACAACTGAGCCATCTTCCTCTGACTTATTTTTCAACACCCCTTTTTTTGGGTATTTCTCTCTCTTTAATTTGTTCTTCTTCCCCCTCTAGTTCCTTAAAGTAAAAGGCAAGGTGTTAATTTGACGTTCTCCTTCATTTTGTATACAGATGTGCAACAGTGTGAATGTTCTCATGGGAACTGACTTGCCTGAAGGCCAGGTAGTGAAGTGTTAATGTGCTGTGTCTTTGTTTTATTTAATTTAAGATGCTTTCTGGATTCTGTTTTGGCATGTTCTTTTGCTATAGGTTGTTTAGAAGACTGGATTTTAGGGGCCTGGGAAAATGGCTTAGCTGTTGGCTAAGTGCTTGAATGACCTGAGTTCAGATCTCTAGTACCCCTGTAAAAGCTGAACATGGTATCATATATCTGGAACCCTGCTGCTGGGGAGGTGGAGAAGGGCTTGCTGGCCAGCCAGCATAGCCTAAAGCAGCGATTCTCAACCTTCCTAACACTGCAACCCTTTAATATTGTGGTAACCTCCAACCATAAAATTATTTTGTTGCTACTTCATACCTGTAATTTTGCTATTGTTATGAATCATAATATAAATATCTGATATGTGACCCCTGTGAAAGGGTCTTTCAGCCTCCAAAGGAGTCATGACCTGCAGGTTGAGAACCACTGAGCTAAAGGGAAGAACCAAGTCATTGAGAGAGCCTGGCTCAAAAGATAAGGTGAAGAGTGATGGAGGAAGACACTCAATACAACACTCACCTCTGCCCTCCACAGATGCATGCATGGGAAGTGTACTGACATGTGCACACATGATCATGATCATATAAAACTTCCAAACACACAAAATGAGAGTGGGGTTTGGTTTCTAAATATTCAGCAATATTCCAGATGTGTTACTGACAATTTAATCCCTTAGTATTCACATATTTAGTATGACCTAAATCTTCAAATTTATGGGCATTTGTATTAATTACTCTTCTCACCACTATGAGAAAATACTTTAACAACTTAAAGAAAGCAGGGTTTATTTTGGTTAATGGTTTGAGGAGACTCAGTCCATCTGAGAAGGTATGAATTGGCTGCTCAGAGAAAGACAGGAATGCTCATGTTGCCTCTTTCTGTTACCTTTTATTCAGGGTCCAGGGTCACATCTCATGGGACAGTGATAGCCACAGTCAGGATGACGTTCCCTCCTCAGTTAAACCTCTGCAAACACCCTCACAAACATGCCCAGAGGTGTATGAGTCTGCCTAGCCGATTCTAAACCCAATCAAGTTGGCAATGAAGGCGAGTCAGTACGTATTCCGTGTTGGCAAGTATCCTTCAGGAAGCTGAGCAGGATGCACCAACCACCCTTTGTGTGGCAGCTAAATAGCAAGTAGCTAATCCTCCAGAGGTTCCAACAGAAACTTTGCGCGTTTGTCAAATCTGGGCTCCTGCCTCTGTCCACCGTGCTCCTCAGCTTGCAGATGCCCACTAAGCCTCCCTGCTCTGTGCCCTTCTTTTCTAAGTCTGTGCTTCCCCATCACACTTCCTTTCTCTTAGAAAGCACCAGGCACTAGATGAGGCCAGCATAAACTCAGCATGGTCTTTTTCTGAGATTCTTCCTCCATTCAAAGACCATCCTTTCCCAGTGGTCTCATTCACAGAGTCCAGGTTTGGGAGAAGCACATTCTAAATCAAGGTAGTTATCTAATCCAGGTAAGCCTAAGGCCATGGACAGATCCTGAGGATTAAGGATAGCTCTTGCATCTCTGTGTGGCCCTTTGATGCCTGCACATCAGCACACCGGGGTTGGGGATTGGGGTGCCCTCCAGCCGTGTGACATCTCAATATGAGGCCATGCTGGGTTTACGATGGCCTTAAATCTAGTGGTGCTGTCCCTATGGGAGAAATGTGTGGTTGTGCCGATGAGGCTGAGCCAAATGCCACATTGAGCGCGCAAGCTTGTCTGACCTGAGGCTCTGTGGCTGATGGCTTGGAGAATAACTGTATTCCCATGTGACTTTCAAAACAGCACCTTCCTTTCAAGGCAGCATGTTCATGTGGGCCCTCCACCATCCTTACCACACATGGTTTAAAAAGCCCCTTTATCTTCATACTCAGTTTAAATCTGGCCTGTCTGTGCCCAGGACCCCAACTTGTGGATTCTTTGGGTTTCTGGATCTGTTATACACTGAAGGCTCAGGAGAAGTTGAGGTGATGATGCCCCGGGCTTACTGCTGTCCCTTTTGTATATTCAGTCACTCACACCACAACAGCAGAGTCCTGGGAAACAGAGCTAGGACTGTATGGCCATGCGGCACCTCGGATACTTCGTGGAGTGAGGTTCCAGCTCTGCAGCCCTTCCTGATCCACTTCTACAAGGTGAGAAAACATTGTGTTTTTAAGGGGAAGGGAGCGCAGCAGTGTGCAGCACACACCATTTTGTGTTCTCTCTCACCTGCGACTTATGCCCAACGTGGGCTTAGTGGCTCACATCTGTAATCCTTATAGTTGGAAGACGGATTTGGGAACACTGCTTTGAGCCTGGTCCACACTGAGTTCGGTCGACCCGTGTTGTATAGTTAAGTTCAAGGCCGTCCTGGGGCCACAGGAGTGAAATTCCAGAGAATAGTAAGAAAGTGACAGGCGCTGGAGGACTTCAACCTGCCATTGCTTGAGGTCAATAAATGTTAGCCCGGTGAAAGTTATTACAGGCAAAAATGACATTCAGCAGATTTTCTCTAGTGCATTTTAGCCATTTCTGCCTACTCCCTTTAGTTTTAATGTACATAACCAAATAAAGAAGTACAAAGAAAGCACCGTTCCTTAAAGTAAATGTAATCTGATATCTCAGGGCTTCTTCACTGCCCTGAATGGAAACACATTTCCATTTCTCTGAGTGCATCAGTGTGCGTAAGCTCCCTGTGCCAGGTGCTTTCTGTCTGAGGATCTGAAGTTCCTTGGGCAGTCAGACACCACAGAGCTGGCCTATGGAATTTATAGTTCTGCAGAGGGAAGAATATTGAGGATACAGTGTCTTGGCTACAGGCATCTGCTTGGTCTCTGCTGGCCATGGTTGTGTCCACAACAGCAGACCCCCAGTAAAGACATTAAGAGAAGCTGGTGTGGTGACATCCAGCCAACAGTCCCACATTTGTGTTAGGTGGAAACTGTGGATGGAGTCCCTTCTAATGACCTTCTTGCCCCCAGCACCTGATTCTAATCTCCTCAGCTACTGGTGGACCCTAGATCTTTGCCTCCTATTATCTAGCTCTCACAGGACCTCAGAGCTGGCTGTCCTGAAAGCCTGCCTCCCTCTGTGTTCCCTGCCTTATCCTGTGAACACAGAATTCCTGTGGCACCCTCTGAGCCCTCACCTCCACGATCTTCCACCCCATTTTTCTGGCCAGACTGGAGTCTCGCATGCTGCCCTCTCATCAGTGATTACTGTCCAGTGTATGACCTACTTCTGGAGCCAAGATCAGAACCATATACCCAATGGTGATCTCACATACTGGTGTGTGGTCTGTCTTAACCACAGAACACCACAGATCATGGAGCTTAAATCCCAGGCATTTGGTGGTTTATGGTGTCTGGTGAAAGAAAGCCTGGTTTTCAGTTTAGAAATGACATCTTCTCCAGTGTCCTCTGTTGTGCAAGTTTTGGTTTATGATATGTAAACGTTTTTGTTTTAATCCCAGGTGCGGGATATGGGACTGATTCAGGTTGTCCACAGCAGCAAACTATTTGTCTCATGTGGGCTCTGAGAGGGGCTCTTTGCCAGCTGCATTGTTTAATTCTGAGGACCCTGAGAGGGAATGCAGGCCAGAGCCCAGAAAGAGAAAGGGGGCTCCAAGGAAAAAAAGGCTGCTGGTGCTTCCTACCTGCTGCTCCTGGTTGCTTTCGATGCATCTTGACAAGAAGTTGGAGATCTCCTGAGAAGAGGATTGAATTTGCTCCAAGGAACCTGACGACCCTAATCAGCAGCAGGAAGTAACTAATAAAACTATGCTCCCTCTCCCCACTAACCTTTCTCTACCTGGTGTTGGGGTGTTGGAAGGATTGGGGTGGAGGAGGGAGGTAGAGGCCTTAAGAAACGTAAATAAAATAATTTTAAAAAGTAGTCCCAACACTCTGTAGTGTGGTAGGAGTGAGGCAGCTCTCTGGACCCATCCCTTGAGTACCTCCCCCACTCTCTAGTTCCTCAATCTGTTCCCATTCCCTAGGGCTACAGTTTTAGCCCGTGCACTGGAGAAACAGCTCTGTCTGCAGCAAGGCATTGTATGTCTATCACAGTCGCTTTTGAACTCTTGAGTCCTGATTCAACCTATCACCAGTGCATGGACCTACACCACGGCAGGCAGAGTTCACATGGGTTGTGTGGGTCAAGCCCTCACGCTTCACCTCCTCACACAAGTGTTCACATCCCCTTGGTGGTTGATTTGCTTCAGAGGTAGGGTTTCTGTGACTCTGTCATGGGTGTCGGGAAGAGGGAGCCTCGTAATTTCTTGCTCCTCCAGGTTGCTAGGATGTGAGCACAGTGTGGCGCACAGCAGGAGCACCAGGTGATCCAGGAGCAGAGGAAACTGGGGAAGGTGGGCAGAGCCTCCACTTGTGGGTTTCTCGAGACAGGAGGCTAGGTTAGTGATGACCCGATGAGTTTTGTGAGGGTTGATTACAGGAGCATGGCCACCTTGCCAATGGCTACACTGCTAAGACGAGCTCTCTCCTTTCCCTGGAAACCATTAACTGATTATAGATCCTTGGGTGGGGAGTCTCATGAGTGTTTACTAAAAACCAAACCTGATTAATCACAAACCCAACCTTCCCCTCATCTGTAAGAAATTTAATGTGAATACTATTCCACAAAGTCTTAAAGGTTTTGTTATTGGGAGGAGGCTCCTGAAAAGGGTGTTCTCATGAAAAGGGTTCCAGGTCAGGGTGTGCAGAACCTCCCGAGCCATCCTCTCCCTTCTGGTGACTCAGCTTGCACATTTTAGGAGCATGGATACTCAATGTCCTAGTTAGGGTTTCTATTGCTGTAATGAAACACCATGACTAGAGCAAGTTGGGAAGGAAAGGTTTTTTTTTGGCTTACATCCCATATCACTGTTCATCATCAAAGCAAGTCAAGACAGGAACTCAGAGCAGGAACCTGGAGGCAAGAGCTGATGTGGAGGTCATGGAGGAGTGCTGCTTCCTGGCTTGCTCCCTGTGGCCTGTTCAGCCTGCTTTCTTACAGAGCCCAGGATCACCAGCCCAGGAACGAAACCACAGGAAATGGCTGGGCCCTCCCCAATTAATCACTAATTAAGGAAATGCTTTGCAGGCCCACCTAAAACCTGATCTTACAGAGGCACTTCCTTAATTGAGGTTCCCTTTTCTCAGGTGGCTTTAACTTGTGTCAAATTGACATAAAACTATCCAGCACACCCAGGGTAGACTACATATCTTAGCCTCCCTGCCTTGAGGGTGTGGTCGCGTGACTAGGTTCTAGAAGCAAATGTGACCTAAATCCAAGACTTTGAGTTTTCTGAAATGCCTTTAAAGGGAGACTGATCTCCCTGGAGGCTGGAAGGTAGAAGATATGGCTGGCGCTACAGCGATTGTGCTGGGCTATGAAACAACTGTGGGAATGCAACCTGTGAAAAACAGTGACCCTCATGGGGTTCTGAAGACTCAGTAGCAAACGCTAAGCAGTTCATTTTTCAATCTTATAATGCCAGGCATTAGCTTTAGAAAAATTAAGGGGGGGGGGGGGCGCTGGCATGCCAGTTCAGCACAAAACAATGGTTTTTACATTCCTAATTGCATTTCCCTGCTTCTGAATTCTTCACTGGTTGACATCTTCACATAGGTACAAAATTAGAGTTTAGCTAGCATAGTCCCCACCCCAAATTCCCCCATCTTCCTGGGGCTTAAGACTCCCTCCTTTTTTGATATGTGCATTCAGTCACATAGCAGACTGATTTTTTTTTTTTTTTTAATTATAAGATAAAATGTGTTTGGGTGAGCAGGCACGAGCCACTGACTAGGGAAGGCCAGGATTAAGTGCCTGCTGCTAATCTGTGATTCGCTGATGAGCTATAAATGCACTTCAAACTGAAAGGGTCTGTAATGATTCGCTTATACAGGCTACCCTTTGCCAGCCCTAGGCTGGGTGCCTCTAGACTCTACAAATGTGAGGAAGAAGTAAAGCTTTAACTAGGGCTGTTGTTATTTTGTTTTTTCTGCTACTTGCAAATGAGCCTTGTGGTCACTGAGGGTGCTGGGGGCAAGAAAGCAAAAGCCCACTGCCCTGTGGGACTTGTCTTTTCAGGCCAAGCAGATTTAGAAAATCCCTTTAATTCCTCCAAGAAACTGATTTGCAGCTCCTCTCAGCTACACTGCCTTTGCTTAGCCCACTGTAAAGAACTTTCTGCTGGACCCCTGTTCCCTTCCATGTACTGCCTCTACTCACAGGGATTCCTGGAGTCTGGTGGCCCATTCTCCCGGGCCTGACCCCTATAGTTCTGTCCCTTTGCTTTTTCCCTGCGTTCTGCTTTTTCTGGCCCGTAGAGCTGCTCTATGCCCTAGAGATTCTGCCCCCGAGGCAGGCAGCCTCTGCCGCCTTTGGTGGTCCACTGCCCTTGGAAACTCCATCTTTCTCAGCTGTCCATGCTCTAAAGGTTGGGGCTGAGCTCGTTAACAGGGTTGAACAATCTTTCACCATTTGCCATGTGAATTAGGCAACAAGCTCATGCTGGAGGACCATGGACTCAGGCTGCAACAAATAAAACTCACAATGTTTTAAGTAAGTTGTCAATTTTGTAAACTTTTGGCTACATTCCTAGCTACCTCTAGTCACATGTACCCTGCAGGCTAGACTTGGCTGAAATGCTGTAGGGATTAGCAGATGATTCTAAAGGATGTGGCTTTTGGCTCCCAACTACCAAGACATTTAGGTCAAGTGGTATTTATCATTGTCAGAAAAAAAAAAATCATTTGGAGAAGAAAAAAAAAAAACATTAGAAGGACTTACCTACACATGTCTTCATTTTCATTAATACCAATAACTATTTTTGCAACTGAAGCTCTGTCTGAAGCCTAGAATGGCCCTAAAGCAAACTAATGACTCATCACCCACATGAACTTAGAGTCTTGGGGACAAAGAAGGAACAACTCCCAGCAGTCAGAGAGGGGCAGTTTGGGAAAGCTCTGGGAGAGAGTTCATGGGGATCTCAGGGTGATGGGCCATCAAAGTTGGAGCAGCTGGCCCCATGACATTCCAGGGCAGGCCCGCTAGGTCTGTGACACACTATCATATCACAAGGAAGTAGGTGGAGTGTGTGGGACTCCACCCCCTCTCCCCCCTCCTCCCTTCCTCTGTCCCAAGTAGGACCTGACAGTGGATGCCATCCTAGTGGTGTGGTGTCACGGCCCTGTGCCCCCCGGGCACCACATGAAGATAATCAAGAGGCTGTAATCAGTCCTAAGCCAGCTAGGCACACATGCATCTGCTTACACCTGCACACATTTTATCCTACGCACATGCTAATGTACTTTCATGGTGACCCACAGGTTTGTTTGTACCCCACCCGTGCTTCAACCGAGGTCTGGAGCAGCTACACACAGACACTACAAGCGCCTGTCTGGCTCTTCACCGAGGTGGAGTTTGTCTAGTAGAACCCTTGTACATAGTTTCAGCATGGCTGGACCAGGGCATAGTCTCTGAAGATCACAGGCTTCTCAAGCCACTTGGCTTTAAAGAGACAGCATGGGAGTATATCCATCAGACTGAGCAAGGTAGCTGGGTGTTTGGGAAAGGATGCTTGAGCCTCATTCTATGACAACATGGGATGTGCCCTCCCTTCTTAGAACTCTGTGCAGTCAGAGCTGAAGGGCAAATGTTTCTCTTCATTGGTGACTTTAATTATCCCTACTGAAAATGCACTGATGACCCAGAATAGATGTGTGTTTTGGCAGGTGCTATTTCAGTTGAAATGAGTGTTTGCTTTAGTGCTCAGGTATGCTTTAGATAAACATTCCCTGAGACAATGTGTTGTTCCTGGTCACTTTCCTCTTGTGTTCAGATGGATGAGCTCAGACATACTCTGGGACCCATTGTTTCCAGAGCTGCGGTGCTGGGCATAACCACCTCAACCCCTGGATCTTTCAGTGGCCGTTCTTCTTTGTTTCCGCACCCCTCTCTGTTACAGAGCAGGTGGAACTCCCCCAAGGGCTTTCTTAAAGTGAGTGATTGCTGGTGTCCATAGTGGAGTCGGCCCTGCATACCCTATGCTTCTCGTCTACCTTCAGAGTCAATAGTCTTCTCAAGAACAAGTGGGACATTTAGGGATGGCAAGAGCAACCACTGAGTTCTTTATTAGTGGGACCCTTGTTTGTGTGGGTGCTTTGTCTATGCGGTGATCAGGGAAACCCTCACCTGTGCTCGGTGAAGGCTCTTCAGGTGTGTTCTGCTGAGGGAGGAGCACCCTAACCCTTACAAGTAACACCACACCTCAGCTCCATAAAGAAGCCGGGTACACTCACTGGTTTCCCAGAAGGAACTTGGGCAGAATTTGCTTCAGTTTGTCGTTAGGACCCAAAGAGTGGTGGACACCACTTCATCTCCTCCTGGAAAAGAATTTTAGCAACAAACCCATTAGCCTGCTTCAGGACAGAGGGCACTGGGACAGGGGGCTGACTGGGCCAGTGTGTTCTTGAAATCTTGAGCAGCATCTCCTGTTGGAGTGAGGCCTCAGCCCTGGGCTAACTATCCTTCAAAGGTCCTGGGGGCAGTGATTTGTGGGAGGCAGTGAACTCTTTAAGGCGTAGGGCCCACTGGGAGAACTCTAAGCCGTTCAGTTGTCCCCTAGAGGGAACAGTAAGGCCTCAGCTGCTTCCTCTTTCCCAGTTTTGTTTCCTGATCTCAAAGTTGGGATTTTCATGGTGAGTGCATTATTGACAGAAACAGAGACTAACATATCTGTGGCTTGTCACCATGTCAGATGTATTGAATAACAACAAGTTCACAAGGTGTAGCAGTTTTTAGGGCAATAGTTTTCCAGATAATCCCACCTACCATGATAATCTTTGAGGGGGTGGGG